CTGAGACTCTCTCTCTCTCTCTCTCTCTATATATATATATATATATATTTAAATTTTTTTGTCATCTGATTTATTATGAAATCATATGTATTATTGTATAACTCCATTCCATATTAGATACACTTCCTATTTTACACTATTATTAAGAATTTAAGAAATCATTAATCGACTAATTAACTTTACTTATTTTGTCCTTTGTTCATTTTAATTAGCCTCTTGAAAAAAGAAATTTTGGATCTTCAAAATTTATTTGAACTTTCAAAGCCATATTAATTACGGGGGAAAATGGAAAAATAATAATTAATGTTATCCTAATTTAAGAAGTAATCAAGTAATATGAAATAAATAGTTTTATAAAATATCCATCTAATATGAAACGGAAAAAGGTTTTCAACATAGACAATTGCAATTGCGCTGAATTTATACTCAAATAATTGGACATGATTCATTAGGGACATTTTTAACACAAGCCCTCCCTAGTCAAATGTTAATTTTAGGGACATCTTAAAATAAAAATAAAATGTTAAATTTTTTTTAAATCCAATAAATAAAAATAAGTATTTTTTAGCCATATTAATAGGTTAAATTTTAATTTCTTTTCTGATACTTTTACATATTTTGTACCTAAACATTCAAAAAGAGACTCAAGAAAGATGTCTTTTTCAAAGAAAACTACTCCTAACAATTATGACTTATGAAGAAAGAACTAACATTGCTTTGAGTATTAGTGGTGATACAATTACAAAAAAGGTAAAATATGGATGAAACATTTTGGACACATGGAGTCCATTCGTTTCGTGTTGAAACTGTGTTATTAATAGTTAAAAAAATACTATATGGTTTGATATAACATGTATTTGGATGGATTAAAAGTGTAACAGATGATTAATGTGAGCAATTCTATATGATGTAGGGGTATATTTAAAAATATTTCTTACGAAAAATTCTAACTATATATTGCTAATGTATTATAAATTTAATTTAACTGTATAATAAAAAAAATATCAGTTATTTTAGATTAACGGTAAAAACCTACATCTCTAAATGTGAGTTCAGTACTAAAAAGATCAATAGGAATTAACGATGAAAAATTATGTAGCTAAACAACAAAAATTCACCACAAACCCTATTTAAAAATAGATTTTTTTTTAAAAAAAATCATATCAAGTACACCCTTCGTAGCTAATTTCATTTTTTTTTTAGTAGTTCCCGTTAAATCCTTAATTTTTTAATTCACTCTTCTCACATAATCTGATAATCAGAATTATTAAATATTTGACATAGACCAAATATGCTCTCTTTTGCAAACATAAAGGACAATTCTGTTCAAAAATATATTTAAGTAACCATTTTGTCATTTTTTTCACAAGTCTCAATACTGGCTAATTTAGGCCTATAAATAGAGTCTTCTTGTAGATATATTTTACAAATTAATTAAGATGGCCTCATTTAAGCAAGCATTTCTCTTTATTGCTCTCTTTGTTGCAATTTCAGGTTCTAAATTCTATAGATTCATGTGTTTTACTTTCTTTTTTAATCTGTTTAAATACTTAGACATGATATTGTCGTATAATTATACGTATATAAGGATAATGATGTCTAACTAAATTATTAGACTAATCTTTGTTATATTTACAATGTGTAGTTAATCTGTCTTGGGCTCCGAATAAGATGCAAGTGATGGCATTACGAGACTTACCCGTTAATGTTGCAGAGATGAAAGGGAAATTATTTGATACTAGTACTTGCGGGAAACGTTGCAACACCCGTAGTGAATGTCAAGAAGGTTTTATTTGTTCAAATTGTGTTACATTTGCGAATTTGTTTTCTCAATGTGTATAACACAAGTGCACTATTACTGATGAAATACTCTTATCGTGTTTCCAAGTTTGTGTAAGAAAAATAAATATGTAACCTTATAAGTTTTCCATATATTGGAAAACTACATATTGAAATATATATAGGTTACAACTTATAAATATATGTATTGGTCTCTTGTATTCATCCTATATGCAATTCATTATTTATTGTGATGATAGTAAAAAATATATAGCCTTTTTTTTTATATGAGTTTCACACTTTTAATATCAGTTACTCTATTTTTATATTCAAACACGCCTAGTTGGGTAGATGATGATAGTTCATAAACGAAAAAGGAACAACTAATTGTTGATATAATCAAATTTGAGGTGTGTTTTGATACATAAATTATGATAGTTCAATTAAAAAAAGGAAATAACTGATAATTTAGACGTGAAACTCGTAAAAAATAAAATAAAATTCAAATGTATGCTTTTTACCATTAATTAACTCTTATTTATTTCATATATTTTCAACTTAAATAAAACTAAAATGTTTAACACACTTTTACTGTAATTATTGGATCATGTCATTAACCGGCTAAAATTAGAGGAAGAATTAATTTAAAGGGAAAAGTTAAGTAAAAAGTTTCCCTTTTTGACCAGCTGTAGAAGAAGTTCTTTAAGTTTATTGTTCAAATTCTTCTAAACGTTACATATTTATATCGGATCTTCTAAAAATGAATTAACTTAATAGAATTTAATATACGTCTGCTCACATTTTTAAAGAATTTGTGATATATTTTAGTTTTACCATAATACTTGTATGATGTGACTATTATTGTTTTATCAATTTGCCAGTCATCAATAATTAATTCTCGTTGATCACATTTATTGGATTCTTCCAAGATGTCTGTCTACTGGTACTTTTTCTAGCCATCACTTGCCATACCCTAGAAAAAAAAATTGTTCAATACTTTTTAAATTTGGTGCAAAATAGAATTTGGAGGAGCAATGAAAAATATACACAAAAAAAAAAGATGATAGATTTGAGGTCTCTGTGATGCCATGTTGAAAAAATATACAATAATAATTTTAAGAGTTAATAGTAAAATATAATATAATTAAATTAAAACATTAGATTTTTCGTGTTTTATATCTGAACTATATATAAGGTAATAATATCAATATTATATTAAAGCACGAAGGTCCTAAATTTGTTGTTTGAACTTTTTATCCTTCGTTAAAAGATTCTGCTTTAGACAAAATCATTTTCCACCATTTTCCTTCCATTATTATTTTTATTTTTTTCAATTATTATTTACTTTTACTAAGTTGATAATTGTAATTTGTTATGGTTTGCAAAGATAAATAGCAACCCAAAATCATCTTCATACTATTTGGCCATATTTGAAATTTCAAGCAGCAGAAAATATTGAGTACGTTTGTTTTTTTTAACTTAAAAATCTCTTAAAAATTCAAGTCTCTCTCATTCTTCAACTTTATTAGTTATTTAAATTATTTCCGGTAAAATTTTAATTTTAATTGTTACTGCTTGTTCATTAAGAATTGATAAAATTTATTGTAAATATTTTATTTGATTATGTGCAAAGCAACTTTAAGTGCCCCTTCTGATTATGAGCCTTGTTACGGCGATAAACGTGTCACACACACATTGGAATTGCAACAACGACTTCACCAACACACATTGAAATGTAGGGCTCTTGATAATTTTTGTTATCCATATATTCAAAAGAAATAATAGTAAAATTATTATTATATGATGTAGGGGTGTACATGGCCGGGTTGGTTCGGATTTTTCAAATATCAAATCAAATCATTTGTGTTGAAATTTTAAATTTATAAACCAAACCAACCCAATAAAACTTGGGTTTTTTTGGATTTTTTTGGATTTTTCGGGTTATTTCAAATTTTTCCGGTAAAGTATTCATACAAACATATAATTTACTTGTACTTCAAATATTTCTTTAGTCCTACCAAAATACAACTATCTAAGATGTTTCTTAAAAATATAACACAATATGATATGATTAATGACACTAAAATATCCAACAAAAATAATAATAATGAAATCTCGTACAACAAATATTGCAAATTAACAAGTACATAATGAAAATGATCATAATTTAAAAGTACTAAATCATGCTAAAATTAAGTTTAATAAGTATTAGTTACATGACTAAATATTAAAGGAAATTAAAATTAGATTATGTATTTAATTGTCTAAACCAATGTAAAACTAAAGAACAAATATTCAATATTATTGTCATTCTTAGTGTTGAATTGATTTTCTTTTTGCATTAGTATTAATTTGATTTTGATTTAAGCTTTATTATAAGGTAATTACCAACATCTGTGGACTATAATCTTTATTGGCCCATTCATAATTCTAAAGTTTCAAACTTAAAAATAATATATTAAAAGATAAAAACTATGAAAAAGTATAAGAAATATTTAAAAATTATATCAAAGTAAATATTTTTATATATAAAATAAAATTTTAAAATATATATATAATGTCGGGTTGGTTTGGTCTCGGGTTGATTTTTTTTTAGTTAAAACCAAACCAACCCAAATATAGTCGGATTTTTTTTTCAAAACCAAATCAAGTCAAACCAAATTACTAGTCGGGTTTTTTTTCTGATTGACTCAATTTGCGGTTTGACTCGATTTTCGGTTCGATTTTGTACACTCCTATTATGATGTGTATTAGATTTGCCTCTCTCTAGTAATCATGTGTATCGTTAATGAAAATTATATTAATTTGTAGTAATCATGCGTATCGTCAAAGAAAATTATATTAATTTGATTGTTTAATTAAAAATCAGGGCCGGCTCTATGCATACTTAAATAAGGCATTGGCCTTAGGCCCCCAATTTTAGGGGGCCTCAAATTTTTACCAAGAATAAATTATGTGTTAATTTTTTATAGAAAAAATATTAATTATTTATGATAAAAAGTATATATTTAAAATTATTATTTTATTCTCTTCAACCCCATTCAAATAGAAGAAATCAAGAAAATTTTGTTTATTTTCTTACACTTCTCTCCACTAATACTCATATTATTTTATTCTTTTTAACTCCTTTTACACTTTCTTCTTTAAATTGTTGATAAGTTAGAGTAATATTTTGTCAAAAATATTCAATTAATAGTCGAAAAGTGTGACAAGTGAATTGTAAATTCTTTTTTCCATTTCTTCTTAGATTTTCAAGCATTACAACAACCATGGTAAAATGTGGGGTAACCAAATTATCAACTTCAGCAAAGATATGGTTCTAACTCTTATATTTATTTGAAATTTGTCAACTTATTACTTGTAGAACTATGTTAACAATTCATATAACGATTGTCCGAGTAAAATAATATTTTTTAACGTTGAATTGATAAAATCTTATTTAAAAGTAATAATTGAAAAAGAAATCGAATAAATCATTTACATATAAAAAAAATATAAAGTAATACTTTGTATTTAAAAATGTAAGAAAAGTAAATTTTAAATAAATGCATGTGAAGTTTATTTAGATTTTAGGCCTCTAATTAAGATTTCTCTTTAGGCCTCCGATAACGTTGAGCCGCCTGTTAAAAATAGACGATCGACAATAAGGCTTTTCAAGGAATGAGTAAAGTTTTCAAAAAAAAAAATTAATTCTCTCCACGTGACTAATTAATTGTTCCACAAGACTCGGTTAAAATATTAGCAAATTGAGCTGCAAAAATAAATAAATATGTATAGCACATAAAATATATTATTTTGCAATGGTGAATCAATGAAAAATTTAAAATATATTGTCTACTTTTTTAAAATCTATAAAACAAAGATAAAAATATACTGTCTACTTTTTTAAAGTCTATAAAACAAAGATATTCAGATGGAGAGTTTAATTTACATTAATCAATTTCAACACAGAATGAAACTCTTAGATTAATTTTTTTTTTAAAAAGTTAATCTTAATATGAGTGAACTAAGGTGTTTTAAGTTTTACTAAGCTTTCTTTATAAATATGAATTGAAAAGCCCTCTAAAGGATAAATATACCGAACCTAAAAGGTAAGTCATACCTCTCACCCTCGGTTCACGGGGTAGGTATTCAAGTGCCCCATACTCTGAAATTAATTAGAGTGATGGGATGAGTGGAATTAGGGGCATTGTGGTCATAAACCATGATTTTATGGACCTTGTTACTACGATGATAATTGAAGTGTTCTCTAATGAATATAGGGCTTTTGATAATTTTATACCACGTCTCGGCACACGTATTTGAATCGCAACAACGACTTCACTGGCAACGTCACTAGAAACTCCTCTGCTAAAACCTCAATAGCCATAAATTAATATAACAATTCTGAATTCTCAACAAAAAAAAAAAGAAAAAACTAAGACGAGTCTCGTTATTCCACTTTATGAATATCCTTGTATATATAAATATTTGAAACAGATTAAATTCCTTAATTTGATTCTTAATCTAGTAAGGATTACTAAACTATTTTAATTGTTTTTGAACTTTTTGCCCTTTATTAAAAGACTTTGCTTTAGACAAAATCACCTTTTCACTATTTTCCTTCAATTACTATACTATTTTCTTAATGTTATTAAGTACTAACTATAATATAAACCCTAAAATAATTGGCCAAATCATCTCTAAGTTGATAAAATATTTTGTTTATTAAGGTATCCTAAAACAAAACAAAAAAAAAATAAAAAAATCACGAGTCCTAATTATACGAGGACACTACTAAAATATGGACAACTTAATATTGACTATATCTAAAATAATGGAAAAGTTTCCTGAATATGTATGAAATAAACTCCTAAATAAGGGTGGTTTTAACTTTAAGTTTAATTTTAGACTAATTTAGATTTGGTAATTTAATTGTTTTAAACCAATTAGAATTTTATTTAAATATAAAATATAAAAAGTAAAAGTAGCGCAGTACGAAGTTATCATAATTACTAAGTGGGAGTAAATGTTTTAGGAAACCCAAATCTAATGGGAAGTGTTTTGTAGGCCCAAGTGAGTGTGTATTTCCTTTTTTCCTGAGTTATCACATAAAAGGATCCCAAATTTAATTTAAAAAATAATATTTATATTCAATATAGTTCCAACAAATTGGGAATTCTCAAAAAAAAATAAAAAAGCATAATTACTAAGTAATTTCGTGTTTGTCTCTTATTTTCCGATTTCCGATTAAGATGTAACCGGTTTTGGTAAGAATGGTACTTAAAATTTTGTTTTTATTTTTTCAATTATTATTTAATTATATTAAGTTAATGTGATTAGTTTTTCCTATCTTTGTTTAGGGGTTTGTATTTGTATAGGAGATAATGTCAAGAAAAAAAGGCAAAACAGTTACCTAATTTATTTGAACAAGGATTCTTAAAGTGGTATAGAAAAAATTATGCAGTATAAGAGTATTCTAAAACGTAAAAGTAAAAACGATAAAAAAGAATCCTTATTTATATTGGACAGTAATTTTTTAATTTGTATAAAAAATAATCCACATACTTTATTTAATAATAAATGTATATAAAAAAATAAATTATTGTGTATTATAAATAGATTTTGCATATAAAGTGTACAACATATATAAAGAGAGATTATATATACATATAAAAAAGTAAGCCCAAAAATAGGTGGAATAAAACGACTAATTTACATTTAATCAATTTCAACACAGAATAGAATTCTTAAGTCAAAAAATTTAAAAATAATTTATAAATGTGATTGAATTAAGGTGTTTAATTAAGCTTTCTTTATAAATATGAAAATGAAAAGTCCTCTAAAACATATCTATGATGAAGTCCAAGAAATCGTGTTTTTCTTGTCCTGACATCACAAGAGAAGAGGCAAGAAGAAGGTTTAGTTACGTATATGATAGTGTTTGAAAATCAAGACTTGAAAAACAAATAATTTAACTTTTTTAAAAAAAAAAAAATACCTAATTTGATAGTATTTAAAAAAAGCATGTTTCACCTAATTTCATCACACTAAAAGCATGTTTCACCTAATTAATTTCATCACACAAAAAGATGAAATTGTTTCTCTCTTGTTATAAAAGCATCAATTTTCCCTTTAGAAATAGGAACAAAAAGTTTTTGCAATCTTTATTCTTCTAGGAATCAAATTAGGGAAGTTAATCCAAATAGTTAATATGGAAACTCGTTATTTAATTTTTATATTAGTTAGTACTATGATTTACTGTAAAGTGGAAAGCCAACTATTTAATCATATGCAATATGTATTAGTATGGCCTCCTACCATTTGCCAAGTGCGAAGTTGCAAAACTGGTATTCCACATTATCAGTTTATTATCGAAACTCTCCGACCTGCGAGGAAATCAGGATGGTCTAGTCCTCCTACAATTGCAATAGAAGACCTGAAAGTAGACACTCTCGTAAGTGTTATTTTTTAAAACTCATAATACACAATTTTTTAAATATGATTACAGTTAATTAGAGAATAATTGTTATTTTACTGGAAATGACTAGTGTGTTTAAGTGTTTTAATTTTTTTCTTTTCTTGTTTTGTTACTAGTATATTGTAGTATATATATTATATATATATGTGGTTTCAAGTAATCTTATAATTATCGTTTGTCTTTTTTTTTTTTGCAAATTAAAGATGAATAATAAACCAATATTGAGGGATCGTCTCAGAATTATTTGGCCAAATATAATAGAAGGCCATACCGATGAGTGGTTGTGGAAGCGCCAATGGAGTGAATGTGGGTATTGTACTCAGTATGCACTCAACATTACTGAATATTTCGAAGCAGCCAAAAAGATAGATAACATGATGATGCTAAAGAAGATGGATCACAATAATAATCTAATTGACTATTTAATAAAAGGAGACATAAAACCATCAAATCACACATCATATGAGATGCGTGATATAAGGTTTGCTATCTCCAAATTAGTAGGAGATCATATTGATGTATATATCTCATGTTATATCAATATGACTAACCATGTAAATATTATGAAGATAAGACTTTGTGTGGATCCAAGTGTGAACAACTTTGTTAGTTGCCCCATCCTTCAAAATAATATTTGTGGAAGTGATACCAAAATCTTCCTTCCCACCTTTTAGTTTTTATGTATACTATTCCATATATTCAAAAAAAAAAAAATAGTAAAATTATTATTATTATATGGTGTTTTTATGTATTTTATATATTCTAAAGAAATAGTAATAAAATTATTATTATATGGTGCGTATAGACTCTTCATTCTCTTTCTTTTCAAAGTATATCGATGGCTTAAAATTAGATGTATTGATATTTATTTGATCATTTACTACGATCGATGGAAAAGGGCTTTCCAAAGAATGAATACAAAAAAAAATTAAGAAATTATTTCCATGTGACTAATTAATTGTTCCGTAAGACAGTTAAAATATTAGCAAATATTGAGTTGCAAATAAAAAATAAATTAAATTGGATATCACAAAAATAAATGTTTTTTCCAATCGTTAATCAATAAAAAATTTAAAATATATTGTCTACTTTTTAAAACTATATAAAACAAAGGAGATTATATACATATAAGAAAATTGCCCTAAACTACATAGAAACTACCTTATTAGACATACATTACTACTATATATACTAATATTACCTTTACTTTTAAACAATTACATATATTATCACTTTTAGTATTTATACCATATATTAATAGATTATTGAAGATATAATTAGATACCCACATCCCTTAAAATTAGGATTGATTAATTATCTGCTTAATTAACTCTTTCACTCCAAATCAACCACTATCTCTTAATTCTCCGCGCCCATATTTATCACTCAATTATGTCTGCTCCTTTCTGATTCAAAAATTTCACCGTACAATTTCATTCCAACAATAGATCTACTCTCTTCTTCTCAAGATATCATCATCATGGCCGACAAATTCTCCTAAACCCAAATATTATTTTGTATTGTTCATTTATAACGAAATCAAAAAAGTAATTGTTACAGAGAACGCTTTCAATTCAAAGTGGGTCTTGATTGTTTGTCTTCTTAAGAAATGAATCTTAGTTTTGATTATGTTAGTCGACAGCGCAAAAGGATCAAGCGGAGTATTGTAGAGAGTTTTTGTTTGTTGGTGTTCTTCTAAGGCTTTCTCTAGTTACTGTCACATGGATGTGGTAGTACCAATATTACTTTGATATAGCCCTTGAAATATGTGTGTCCAATAAGTAGTAATCTTAATTAAGATTTGAGTTATATTTTTAGTAATGGGGTATCCGAACATGTATATGTATCCACCATTAAATTTCAGATATTAATGATATGACAGATACTCTAGAGTCGTGATTTGTTCGTGTTTCAGTTACTTTCCATATATATTTAGATACATATAATTAAATGTATATGCTTATTATGTATTCGAGATACATGTTTTTGGATATAAAGTATGAAATTTAGATACACATAATTAGATGTCTATTCTTCTTCTTTTTGTATATTACATATTTAGATACTACTATGTATTCGAGATACATGTTTTTGGATATAACATATGCAATTGAAATTTGATACATCAAATTAATACTAGATACATATAAAAGATACATGAAATTATTACTAGATCAAATAAATAGATACATATAACAAATACATGAAATTAATACTAGATACTTTTTATGATACATATGAATGTACTTGTATGACACTTATGTATCTAAGTGTTTAGTTTGTTGGATACATCATATATTGATAATAGATACATCAAATTAATGAATTTATTATATTAATAGTAATAGTTTGAAATTAATCAAATTACATTAACAAGATCTACATGTTTTTATCTTTTATTAATAATATTAATGAATTTATTATTTCAAAGAATAATAAAATGAAATTAATTAGACATAAATACACTCTTGATTTTCATCTTATTTTAAGGGATTTGATTAATTTAAATTTTCAGAATTAATTGTCTATATATTTTGAAAATCCTCAATTACTCCTCTAATTAAGGAAATCAGTTACAACCAATTAATTTAAATAAATAAATTTAAATAGAATATGTATCCCGATTTTAAAATTCGGCAGATACATGTATCTCATGGATTCAGACTCATGTATCCTCAATACGAAATATGGTAGAGGAAGTAATATTTGAAACTATCAGGAATCTTAGTAATTAAGACCTAATCTAGTGGAATTTATGTAGTTTGCCCTAAATTTTACTAGTTTAGATCCTAATTACTCAGTTTAGATACATATATTAAAGTGTTTGAATTAAATGATTATAACTGATTTGCTCAATCAATAGAGTAATTCAACACTGTTAATAACTTTTGAGAATCTTGATATCTATTTTTTCACAATAGCCATTTTTATTTAATTTCAAAACTGTGATTGTGAAGTTGTTTTTACACTAGCCAGATTCATATACATATCGGATACATAAACAAAAAAATCAGATTCAAGACATTAATCACTTAGATATATTAATAGAAAGAAGATACAAGACATCGAAAGCTTAGATACAATAACATAAAGATCAAATACATAAAAATATTACATCAAATACAATATTACATAAAAATACATAACAGAACAACTGATGTTTGAATAGGAGTAATTCTCATTTATGTGTTGAGAGAATGAATGAAAATCATTTTTGATAGATATTCTAAAGAAACTGTGTGTTCAAAAGGATGAAGAGAGAAAAAATGGTGGAGAACGTGGAGAGATATTGTTGGGGGAGGAGATTGAGGGAGGTTGAATTGTTGAAGTATCTTTAATTAAGAGAGACAATTATTCAATATCATATTTAAGAAATTTATGTATCTGATTTAATTTTTTAAAATATATGGTATAATTATTAAAAAATGATATTATGACTAATATTTTTAAGGGAAAATACATAAAAACCCCCCTGAACTTGTCCGCAGAACTTACTTTAGTACTGTAACTTTACGGGTAATTATTTACCCCCTTTAACTCATTTCAAGTGAATTTAATACCTCCTTAATTGATGATATGACAAGGAAAGTGTGATCACTCTCCCAAACTCGCGTGAAAAGGGGAAAAAGTAATTAAAAAGCTGACCAAATTTCAATTTCATTAATTTTTTCATTTTTCTCTCTCTCCACCTTTCATCTTGTTCACAAAGCCACCGTATGCCACCATGAAATCAACCATTTCTCCATTCCTCTTCCTCCATCCCCACCCCCACCTCTCTGATTCCACTAGAATAAAAAGTGAAAAAAAAAGCATTTTGATTTCCTTGGAAAGGACAAAAAGCTGGTCGGAGATGTTTATTGCGTGGTTAAAGAAAGCGGAAGTACTATACCTTAACACTCTGAGGCGGGTGTTCAGTTGAGGAAATAAAATTGTTCGTACCGATGGTGTTTGTGGTGGGTATTGTGGAGTTGATGATAGGTATTGGGTAAAACCATCCATATTCATTTCGATTTGGTGTTTGTGGCGGATCTAATTACCTGCACGCGTTTTCATTTTCGCCACCATTTCATTCTTCTCTCACTATTCTTCAATTTTTTTTATAAATTTGTTTTCAGACGTTTATTGCGGCAAAATTCTGTTGACATCATTGATGTTTGTGATGGGTATTGATGTATTTTGAAATTGACAGCGATGGCGTGGTATTTTGGAGTTGATTTCAATGGTGATGGTGTTAAGAAATATGAAATTAACAGTGATGGAGGCGATACAACTGTTGGTGATGAGTATTGTACAGTTGACGGCGGCTGGTGATATTATTATCGGTGATGGGTATTGTGGAGTTGATGGTTGTGATAATGGTGTAGGTAGTGGTGAAAATGTTGTGAATTTGATGGCGGCGGTAAAGGAGGAACAAAGCGAGGAGTAGTTGGTGAATGGTGGTGCACTGTGAAATCTACGGTGGTGGAATGTGAGGGATGATGAAGGTTTGGGTGGGTGGTTTTTTATTTTTTTAAAATGCGTAAAATAATTTTTAACACGTGGAGGTGCGTGTAGCACACCTACCTTTACAGTTGTGGTTCTAGACTTCTGAGGGGATATTAAATTCACTTGAAATGAGTTAAGGGGGGTAAATAATTACCCGTAAAATTACAGTACTAAAGTAAATTCTCCGGACAAGTTCAGGGGTTTTTTTTATGTATTTTCCCTATTTTTAAACTATAGATAAAGTATGTATATATAGTAATTAAATATGTCTAATTAATTAGTTTTACCAATAAGTAAGCCCAAAAATAGGCCCAAAAACCGATTGTGTTGAATGTTTCACATGTCAGCAAGTTTTCAAATGAAGTTGCTCCTTTCAATAATAATCTCAAATATAAAGTTATAAAAATTATAAAGTTAATATAGCCTTGATTAAAATAATAATAATAATAATAATAAGTGAACTCTTCTATCAAAATTATTGTAATGTATAGTATTACTTATATTATTTTTAAATATATTTAAATATTATATGTTAGGTTTTTTATCCTAATTTATATGGCATTGATAGAATTTAAAGTGTCAAATAATTGTTAATTATTGTAATAGATAATATGGAGTATTTAAGTCATTTATAGTATAGTATAATTAATATATAATATGTAGTATTTAAGTGTTATATTATGGAATTTGAGAAGTTATTGAAATTTTTATATGATTTTAAAAATATTTTAAATTGTTAGCTATTGTGATTTGTAGTACTTTTTTTTAACATAATTTTGAAAGTAATATTTATTACTCTATTTGTTCTAATTTATGTGGCACATGCAGAATTTCAAATATTAACCATTTTTTATATGTCTCTTTAATATATTAAGTTGTTAATTATTGTATTTTATAGTACATTTTGAACCTAATTTTTTAATAATATATGTTATTTGCCATGTCCCAATTTATGTGGCATTAATTGATAGATTTGTTGGAGTCGAGAGATTTATTTTGTTAATTATTGTAATTTATAGTTTCTTTTTCGTCAATTTCAAACAATATATGTTTATCATATAATCCATTTTATGTGGTACCAATAGAATTTAGAGAGTCAATTAAATTTTTTATATAAGTTTTAAATAATTAAGCTGTTAATTATTGTAATGTATAGTATTACTTATATTATTTTTAAATATATTTAAATATTAT